AAATCGGTTTTATCCTATTTTCAGTACTTTATATATATACAAAGGTAAAACAAGACAATAAATCGTTCACAAGGTGCAGTTTGTTGTAAAAATACATCATTAAAAACTGTACATTTTTAGAAAATTTGAGTCGAAATTATTTGTCAATTCCGTATTTCTTAAATATCTTCGTTTCTGTTCATTTTACGACAAAATTTGATAGAAACTAATTGAAAGCTTATAAAATTTTCTTTCAATCATTCTTTCTCGTGCCTTTTGTTCTCTATATGTACAATCTCGGAAAGTAAGGCATTTGTGTTCGCGTGCGTATAATTATCGTTACGTAGTAATACTCAGCGTAATATTAATATATATGTATATAATATAATAGAATTATTTGCTTAATAAATAAAAAAATTTGTCACTTTTGATTGTAGCACAGAAATGCAGATACTCTCTCTTAATTTCTTATTATATACCATAACTGGTTTGTGGCGACCAATTGAATGGTCTTCGAAATGCTTTAAGTCGCTATATAGTGTGTACACTTTCCTCACGATGTATCTATTCACGTATTTCTTACTGACTCACTTGATGTATATCATCTTTGTTGTTGATAACGTAGAAGACTTGGCTTCGTGTTGTTCTATTTTCTTAGGAACAATTACCCTATTTTGCAAAGCGACTATTGTTATAATCCGTCGCGATAAAATTATCAATTTGATAGAGATATTGCAAGAAGAACCTTGCAAAGCTTGTAACGAGGAGGAGATTAATATTCAAATGAAATTCGACCGTTTAATCAGGTTGGTGTATTTAAGTATTGACGCAATTTTTAACAATATCAATTATAGTAAAAATCGATAAGTAAATTGTACATACATATATATATATATATGTATACATATACCTATGATATAGATATATATGATGGTGGTCCTTATTTTTCAATTTTTCGAATTTTTTTTGTCTTACCCCCTAGAATATTTCCAATCTACAAAAATATATTTTCTATAAACTTTCAACTTAATCGGATATCTGGAACCCGTGCAATAAAAATTGTTATAAAAGAACTAATAAATCGATGAATAAACATATTAAAGAATCTTCTAGAAATGCTCGTTATATAACACACAAAGAGATGATACCCCCTTGTTGCGAGACGTCACTCCTTTAACTGTATATAAACCGATTCTCTCTTAGGAAATTGGTCTACTCTCTTAAAATCAGCTGAGTATTTCGGAGAAATTCGGGCTAAATAGGAAAAGGTAATTATTTTCGGATCCCAGCAATTTTAGGCGCTTATTTACTGGTAACCTGAGAATTCGTTCGCACTAGGTCAACTAGGTGCGACTCCACGATCCTCCTCTTAGGAGTCTTAGGCTCGATTGTACCAACATTACTTGATTTTTAAACTAGACTTAAAACTTTCTCAGTTTCTGTCAATTTATCGACTTTAAAAAAAGAAAGACAGACTTTTAAGCGTCACTGAAAGTCAAAGTAACGTTGATGCAATCGAGCTTTAGGCGCTTTTATTCACTGGCAGCCTGACAATTCGTTTGTATAATATAGTTCTCTCAGTATCCCAATCATTATCTAACCTTGCAAAATAAATTAGAATCTTAGACGGAATACGAGCTCTAAATCGGTGATAACAGATCACAGATTGCAACAAGGACATGAGTTCGATTGGAATAATGTACAAATCTTAAATGAAGAATCGTGTTATGGGAAACGTATTATCGCAGAGATGCTCAACATTAAAAAACAGCAAAACAGTCTTAACCTACAAACAGACACATTAGATCTACATGAAGCATATATTCCTATTATAAACAAGATATGACTTTGCATTACCAAAATCTTAAACATTATAGTTTTGTACGTCGAGTTAGTTGGACGGTTATAAAAGTTTTATATTTGGAACGACTTGCATTTGCAATGTGTTAACAAAATAATGATTTTGATCGTCACCGAATTTTAATAAATGACTCTTTTAACGATATGGATTACTCGAGGGTGAGTTTTTTGTCAGAGGGACAATTGCTTGTCACATTATTTTATTAATATAACGTTAATTTTGTGTCCTTATTAGTACCACAGGGATACATCACAAACGATCTTCCAATCGCTTGATGAGCTAAATTGTTCTCTCTGTGGAAATACTCAACGTTTTAGAACATAACAATCCATCATAGTTTTATTCTTGTTTTTTCTGCGTTAACTAAAGATGTTTTACTGCGTTAATTAATATTTATATGTACATCTGAGGATGGCTCGAATATGCAGCCGAAACGTTATGGTTTGACTTTTTTTGCGTGCGCATTTATAGTGTGAATTTTAGTTTATTGTTATTTTATTTTAATTTATAATATATTAAATGTTTTATTAGTTCACACATATAATATTGACTCTTAATTGCCTTTTTATTTCATTGACAATTTATAAAATATTTATAAAAATAATGAATATATTTTTTGTATTCTAAATCGTTTTACTACCAAATAATTAGATACTTAAAGACAAAATCATCTTATATAAAAATTATCTAAAAATTTTTTTAATTTCTTCTTTTATCTAGATTAATATAAAATAAATTATCTTCATCTTATCTAAAATACATTTTTGTGTTATTTATCTTATCTATATCTAGATAATTTTGAATTATCTAAGCGCAACACTGCTCATGCACCGGAAGAGGTGAGGTCATGCAGTTGGGTCATGCATGCAGCGAGTGTGCATGAAAAGAAACGGAACGAACATCTATGCTTCTATGCGCATCATTCATGCAAGAAACGGAACGCACCCTTGACGACAGTAGTAAACCGGACAAACGCGCGTATTCGGCACAATCTTTAAAAGTTAATATTTTATTAACTATTACTCAAATTGGAAAATGGTAAAGGACTTTTCAAATTAGTTAAGTCCGCTCTACCTGCGCATGTAATTTTTCGCGGTCGTACTGGGACACCCTGTACATATACATATATACAGGGTGTATATATGTATACATATACAATATGTATATTATACATATATACTCTATATCATGTTTAATTATTAACAATTTATCTAATTGTTTAAATAAGACGTATATAAGAATTCAAATAATGTAGAAAAGTAATATATAGTATATATGTTAAGAGAAAGAAAAGTCCTCTAAATCAATATTAATACGCTTTATAAACGTCAATGTCAACAGTATCCTATAGTATAACGAAACTTAAATGTTTAACGAGCCGGATGCACGGCTTGATATCCAATTGAGCTAAAATTTTATAGGTATTTTTTTGTGGATTGGAACTAAGGAATGAGACGGAAAAAATTGGAAAATAATGATTGGAAAATCACCCTAATATACAGGATGTCCCATAAGGAATAAAGTAGAAGCCGCACTGATGGCGTGTAAAGACTCAAGAGGAATAAAAAAGTTTTATACCATTTTGAGATAATTGCTGTAGTTTTTGAATTAAAAAATAAAATATCGAAGCCAATATGTGGTGACGCCACGCCATGCAGGTTCATAGTACAAACTCGATGGCGCGCAGCGAAAGGAAAGATGACGCATAATTCGCGCAATGTGTAGCGTGGTATCACCGCATATTGGCTTTGTATTATTTTTTAATTCGAAAACTACAACGACTATCTCAAAATGGTATAAAACTCTTTTGTTCCTTTTGATTCCTACGTCCGTGGCTCCTATACGTTATTTCTAGAACATCCTATGTATATGTATATACATATACGGCTATTTAATAAAATTAAAACGAAAATAAATAAATTGAACTATAAAAAGAATTAAATTGGATTAATTTTGTTTTAAAATAAAAAAAATATTTTTTTTAATTAGCTTATTGCTCTACAATCACAAATTTACATATATGTTTTGTACGTATTTTTCGTTATTATAGCATTAACAATTTCCAAAATATTGTGCAATAGCATGACGTATTGAATGACGACTGTCAATTTTTCACCATACTTACTAAAAATTAAATATTTATCAATTAATATAGTTTTAAGATAGCTTTTGCCTTTCTTTTATTGCTTGCAGATTATATATATATACATTACACATATATACATATTTATTATGTATTTTTAAAATGTTCATGCAGATTATATTCCATGCCTTATATAATCTTATATATAATCTCGGCGATATGCACTGTAATTGGAGGAATACTGTATATGTTAGACGGTCAAATACCCTACGGGTTCGTGTGGGTACCTTGGGAATGCACTTCGTTTCTTTTATTCTGTCTTACATCTCTTCAAGAGATGGTAGCTGTATTTATTGGCATTATTGTAAACGCCGCGACAGAAACTACGGTTTTAGGATTTTGTTTGCAAATATGTGCAAGATTTGAAATTCTAAATTATCGCCTTCAGAGTATGATAAAAGATGAGAAGGAGACCATGCGGAAAAGTTTATTGAACAATACAAGCAGATTATCAAAACACGTTTCTTTTCATCTCTGTATAATCAGGTTCGTTAAATAAATGATATTTGCTTTGTGCGTGTATTCTTTTCAGACTTAAGTTGTGCTTTATTTCATCATGTATAAAAAAACAATAATTTAAACATCTATAACAAATCTATAAATATCAAAATTAGATTATTACTCAAACTCATTTTGCATTTTTTACTTTAATGATTTGAAATAATAGGTCGTTAAACTTACGTACGATGAGCTATAAATGTAGTTGCCAAAAATTTATTTTAAAAATATAGTTTTGTTTAAAAAAGTGAAGATAAATCTTCGCATTATTTCGTATTATGTTGTTATCTGAATATATTCTTGTTGTAAAAATATATCTGATTATAAAAATTATACAATAAACCTGAAAAAATTATAGTTTCATTTTCGTATAATTTTAAAATAATTCTAATTTTAATGCATCGATGGAATATATCCTGTAATAATTCCTTATAATGTTTTAGTTATTTAATTGTATCACGATATACAGAGTATCTCAAATCTACTGCATTACTTGCTGGCAGATTCTTGAAGTCATTTTGATAATAATCGAATACAACAAATATGAATATTCTAAAACAAAATTGTCGAGGTTATAATATTATAGTTTTTAAATTATTAGGTATACAAATTAGTTCGGTCCGTTTTTTGTGTTCAAAAATGCATTTATTTCAAAACAAAATGAATGAACAGATTAATTAAAGTATTGTCCATCGCTGGCTACTACTTTTTCTCTCAGGCAATTTTCGAATTGCATCTCGAAAAAATGACTCGTCTGGAGGCGATCATCTTTTGGAAAACAAACCGAACTAATTTGTACTCCAATATAAGCATGTAAAGTTAATTATTATCAATCGAAATATTACCTAAAGTTAGCACGTTTAGTTATGATTAACACTTAATTGCGTTGTATTGGAGCAAAATGCTAACTACATCTAAAATGTGTGAATTTTAAACGAGAATTTAAAACAACTTTAAATACTTATAATTAAGAAATTATTATTAGCTATGACATTTTTATATTAGAATTTTCATTTCAAAATGTCTTTAGGATGCTACCCACGTAGCACACCAGCGCGTGTAAAGCGCTTTCGAAGCGCTGTTCGGATTGCACCTCCCAAGTGTTATTAATTATGCACTTTTATTACATGCGGCTAATTTTGCGCGTAAAAAGCGCTTTAAAAGCGCTCGCTCTTCCTATATTGCACATGAAAAGTGCAGTAAATGTGCTATAAAACTGTATTTATTTTGCTCTGATTATATGCGCTTATAATGCGCTTTTTATAATGGATTTTGAAAGCGCTTTTAAAGCGCTAAAAAGCTGCTAAAGTAATACGACTGCATACTCGTTTTTTTAGCGCTTTTTAAGTGCTAGTGTGCTATGTGGGTATTAGCAGGTGATATGGTAGGCCTAAGACCCCTATATGTATACAATATTCATAATTATATATATGTATGTAATAATTTATACTAACCATATTATATAAAAAATAGATATTTTGTACAATATATCTATAAGGTTGTTCCAAAATGTTCGGATGTCCTGCTTTCAATGGCAGATTCTATGGAACATTATTCTAACAAAAACGTTCTATACAAAAACGTGTTGTGTATGTGCGTGTTGTGTGTGTCTAGATTGCAATAGTTTTCAAATTATATATTATATATAATTAAAGTTGGCCAATTATGGCGTCTAAAAATCGCTCGCTCAAAGGCGGAACATTGCGCGGGACTGCTGTACATTCCCTTGTTAAATATATTGATATACAATAATTGAGACAATTATTATGGCAAAATGTTTAACTGACGAAATTCGATTTCTTAATGTAAAGCATTAATAGTTTTATAAATTAATAACGTTTTATAATACAAAATCAAATTTTATAATAACGCAGTTATCCTAACAGCACAAATGTCGATATGTCGACTGCTAATCGATTTTGTTAAGTCAGACCTTTCGGAATCGACCGTAAGTCGATTTTGTCTACAGACGTCCCTCAAATGTCGACTTTAGAACATCTAGAACAAGAAGACAAGAAGACTAGAACCAGGAGAGTAAACTAGCGTGGTGAGGGTAGGTCAAAAAACGTCCGCGGTTATTCATTCAATGCGCAGTGGCATTGCACATTGAATGAAAGTTTGCGCATGCGCGCGTCGGTTATAACCAAGAAGTCTTGTTCTTAACCTTTGCGTTATCAAGAAGTCTTCTTGGCGTTATATAGCCCAAAAAGATTAGGGCTAAAGACGCTTTATTTTCCCCTCATCCGAGGGACACACTTAAAAAAGAAAAAAATCTTCTTAAACCATCTTAAACAGAATGTAAATTGTAAAAAGAAATTATACTGTATATTAAATAACTTGTTTATAGGCAAATTCTGTATTGTATACAAATTTTGGAGTATGATTACAGTAATTTTTTTTTATTTACAGAATATTATTAATATTTCCGTCGTCGTTGGAATAACATATATTGAAATATGTATGATTTTTAGTCTTCTTGAGTCCAAAATTCAATTAAACAAAAACAAGGTTTGTTTGACATGCGCAGTCACGAATTGAAAACGACTATCAGAGCGACAGAGAGGACTAATGAAGCGCAAGAGTGGGGGAAGTTATCCGCCGTCACTTTTTGGCCTACCCCCACTACCGATATTTGACCGAGTTTACTCTCCTGGTTCTAGTCTTCTTGACTGCCAGGTACAGATTGGACTATGGTCATACAAAATTGTACAAAATCATTGCATTGCATTCATTCGATCAGAAGATGACCTCGCAACCTTTTTGATAGTTACTCTCGACGTTAATATGCGTGTAAGAGTTTATCATCGCAACAAGGAATTGACCTGGATGCAATGGGATCAGCCAACTTCTGAAACCAGTGTATCAAAAATGCTTGAAATTTTAAACAAAAGTATGGTTTCTTTTTCGAAGTATAAAATTTAAAAAACTATTCTAAAAATTAATTATTTTATAAGATTTTTTCGTATGATTATGATTATGATTTCATGATTATGATTTTTTTATTATTATTTATGTATGATTTTTTGGAAATATATATTACGGAATTAATAAATGCATAAAATCAATAAACAAATTGATGTTCTATTTATATTTATTTAGTAATAAATACATATATATACTCTAAAGTATATATTATAACAGCTATGTGTAATACTTATTATTATACCTATTTTTGTACATTATTCACATGACTTATCAGCTGTTTTTTCCTTTTCTTGTGCCGGTTTTACTATATTCGGATCTATGTTTTTTTTTGCACGGACAAGTTTCACACGTTTTCGAAATTCTCTTTCCTTCTTTTTTGCTTCATTATTTGCAAACCTGATTGTATATCCGTTTATACTTTCGTTTTACATTTTTCTTGCAAAGTTTCTCCTTCGCTTTTCTGGACTTTTTGATAGTTACTCTCGACGTTGATATGCGTGTAAGAGTTTATCATCGCAACAAGGAATTGACCTGGATGCAATGGGATCAGCCAACTTCTGAAACCAGTGTATCAAAAATGCTTGAAATTTTAAACAAAAGTATGGTTTCTTTTTCGAAGTATAAAATTTAAAAAACTATTCTAAAAATTAATTATTTTATAAGATTTTTTCGTATGATTATGATTATGATTTCATGATTATGATTTTTTTATTATTATTTATGTATGATTTTTTGGAAATATATATTACGGAATTAATAAATGCATAAAATCAATAAACAAATTGATGTTCTATTTATATTTATTTAGTAATAAATACATATATATACTCTAAAGTATATATTATAACAGCTATGTGTAATACTTATTATTATACCTATTTTTGTACATTATTCACATGACTTATCAGCTGTTTTTTCCTTTTCTTGTGCCGGTTTTACTATATTCGGATCTATGTTTTTTTTTGCACGGACAAGTTTCACACGTTTTCGAAATTCTCTTTCCTTCTTTTTTGCTTCATTATTTGCAAACCTGATTGTATATCCGTTTAACTTTCGTTTTACATTTTTCTTGCAAAGTTTCTCCTTCGCTTTTCTGGCGGCTGCTCTTCTTTCACGTTTGTTTTCTCTTTCTTTTTTTCTTTTGTTCTTTAATTGACAATCTTTACAAAAATTGGATCGTGAATGTGGTTTATACTCAAAGTACCCAATGGTGCAGGACTCTTCTTGGCACATTTTCATTGCACTTATTTTTTGCAATGAAAAATAAATATCTTGTAGGCACGTCACCTTTTCCAAAAGATGATAAGTGACAGGATGATTATGAGCATGTAACTGAAATAAACAAGCCAATCAAGCCAATAGTATAGGCAGACAAATTCATATACAAAAAAAACTTGTAACGTATAAGGCCTGGTCTACAATAAGTCGGGAGCCGTTATCGTATGTCGTGCCGTAAGAAATTGGCCAATCATGTTCGATTGTTTTCAACTGTGAAATTATACATTGAGGCTTAAAAGTCCGAAAATACCTCGATGGTCATGTCATTCTTTACAAGTAAAGAACGTTGTATTGTATTGCTACAATGTTCCGAAGTGCTTTCAAAAAGTATGAAAAGTAATCCACACTTTGTTTCCGTCATACCCCATGATCCCATGAATTGACAAAAAGGTCTCGCATTCCACTTTTTTAGTAACACCGTTGTGTTAAAAACATTTTCTAAAGTGCATTCCATTGGTGTATGCAGCAACGGTGAGAATTTGTCGGAAAGTAAAGGTAGTGACTGATTGTCAGAAAAACGGGAAATCGAGGAGCTTTCAAGATCATTTGAATCTATAACCGAGGAGCTTTCAAGATGATTTGAATTTATAATCGAGGAGCTTTCAAGATTATTTGAATCTATAAT